CCTTATTTCCATCTACACTCTCCATTTCCTCTCTGGCTCTACAGCCCAGTGTTTGCTGTGTTTGCGCTGCTTGGTTAAGCTCAGACCCAGCAGATGTTTTTGTTGTGTGTTTTCCTGGTGTATAAAATATCAGACTGACATACATCTCTTCGCTCTACCCTCTACTTTCCCTCCCACTCTCCCTCCCTCGCTCTCTCTTGTATCCTCGGGCTCCTGTCACTGCCTGAGCTACAGCAGGTAGACAACCGTAATTATTTAGGAGGAGGAAAAGCTCACACAAGTGCCTACAGGTGTTTTCCAAGCAGGGGAATGCACTCAGAAACAGAAAAGGCAGTCTGAAAGACGTGTTCAAGACAGAAAGTGTTAAATATTCTCCTAAAAGCTTTCTTATTTCAGATTTAGCGTATTAATAATACTCTAATTGTCTTCTTTAAGCCTCCTACGGATTTGTACAATTATTCCTCTAAACAGCTTGTTGCTAGGTTACAGCCAGGTAACACACATCATGAGTTGTTAAGATGTTTTTAAATACAAAAAAAATGATTAAGTACCTTCCAGTTTAAGTGTGTCATTTCGATTGTCGCCTTACTCTACCCCTTCTCCGTCAGCCTGGCCGTGTGACAGGCGCTGACAGGCCCACTAAGCCAGATGGAGATGCATGAATTTACAGATGATTTCATGTGAAAGCTCGCTGATTTTGAATGGTGTCTCAGACAAAGTCTTGAGGGGGAAATATGTTTGCGACTTGCCTCACAAGGATGGTTTCTGCTTAATTATCTATGTTAAGGAGAGATCATTTTCTAAAGGTTAGCCTCAGGATGTATACGTGTTGAAGTTAAATTCTGGAAAACAGACTTATGACTCAAGACAGCAAAGCCTATTCAGCAGCAGTGTAACCAAATATGTGTGTGTGTGGTTCCCCTAAAGGGCTTCCAGGAGATAAGTCTTGCCGGTCTACACCATGTCTCACAGTTTGATCATGGTCCCGGAGTGGAGGGGGGCAGGAAGCCCTGAGACATGATGGCATGTTCCCCTGGGTGCTGGCTGATGCCCCCTGACAGATTGAGGCTGCGACAGTGTGTTCGACGTCTTTCTGTATTTACGTCTGCGAGTGTCACAGGGATGTTGCAGTTATCAGAATAATGTCACACAGTTGGAGACAGAAACCTCCATGGCTTTGTTTGTTTGTTCAAGCAAATTGAATACAAATTCTGAAATAAATGAATCATAAAAAGCAATCATCAGTGTTTTGTGATTTCTGCTAAACCCTATTCATCTCATTTTTAATTGCCTTTTTCTTAACGTGAGCCTAATCCGCAAAGTTTATTTTCAATCAATGAGTTTGTTTTTCTTAAATGCCAGCAATAATTTTTTATTTCTAAATAAAGACAGGTTTGAGTTTGTGGTGGAAATATTGCAGTTTAAGTCTTTGTGAGGTTGGGTTGTCATTGACAGGTTTTCAGCCAACTAGTGGACTCATAAGTTAGCACTGTGTCTGGCCAATGGACTTCATGCTAAGATATAGATCTATATCCATAAGTATATATACAGTTGTTTTTACACAATGCAAGTCAGTGTCAATAGAAAAGAGGCGGCAGAGAGCTTGTGTGCCATTTTTAACCTCCACAACATAAACCACATTTCCACATTTGGAAAATATATTTTTGTATCTCCGTGTAACATCCAAAGAATGGTATATTTACATTTCCTCGAAATGTACATAGTTAAAAAAAAAAACATTTGAGAAAAAACAATCCAGCATCACATTACCAAAAATCCTATGCTGTTGACGGGGAAATTCCATAAGACTATATCCCGTGTGTGTGTGTGTGTGTGTGTGTGTGTGTGTGTGTGTGTGTGTGTGTGTGTGTGTGTGTGTGGTGTGTGTGTGTGTGTGTGTGTGTGTGTGTGTGTGTGTGTGTGTGTGTGTGTGGTGTGTGTGTGTGTGTGTGTGTGTGTGTGTGTGTGTGTGTGTGTGTGTGTGTGTGTGTGTGTGTGTGTGTGTGTGTGTGTGTGTACAACAAGGCCTACTTTGTGGGAGCTTGTGAAGCATGTCCACAGCCTGTTTAATGAGATAGCATGTGGTATGATGCTATGTGTGTGAAATTGAAGCGCAGGCTGTGTAAATTGAATTAAATGGGTATGTGTGCGATAAGAATGTGCATGGGAGAAGGGCATGTAAGCTAGCATAGACTGCCTATCAGTGTGTGTGTTACTATGTGTGATTAACATAGACATACAGTAAGAGTGTCTTTTATCGCCGGCAGCATGGATTGCGAAGGACCAAGTGAGCTATACCATATCATGCCAAAAAGCTGCGTGTCAAATGCATTTTTTGGGAACTTTTTGCCTTTAATTGGAAAACAGCTGTAGAAAGAGAGACAGTGGGAATGACATTCAACATTAGGTTTCAAGGCCTTATCTAAGTGGTCACCCTTTCAATTAGTTTTCATGTAAAAAACACATCCAAATTTCCCTGTGCTTCAACATCCATAGGTCATTGGAAGTAGTTTGCCCTACTTGTGTCCTGCCATAACAAAACCTTTCATCACCTCATTTAAATGCTTTTCTCATGTCATTTTATTAATTTTTAATTTCCTTGAATTATTGCAAAGTGGCTCCCATCATCACTAAAAGGTCAACACCATGAGTCTGTAAACTGAGCTGCGTATTGACTTATGTTGTACGTCGCATGGTCGCTAAAAATCACTGCATTTGTTTATCAATCACTGATTAGCTAAGAAAACAAATATTATCTAAACTGAACTATGTCAGGGCCTAAAGAGAGGTCCTCTCCCCAACACCAGTGATCCATGTGAGCGCTCCAAGGCGGGGGGAGGAGGCGTTTCAGTCAGTGATTCACCTCAGCCTTTCTTTACTCTGAGCCCTCTGAAAATACCCAAGGAGCCAAAAAGAAAATACCTCACAGCTGTTCCCTCGGCAGCCAAGCCATTCCTGTGATACTTTTCTTACACATTGCGGAGTCTCTCCGTCTGAAGCAAGCTCCTGACGAGTCTTTCAATCCAATACGCTGATCTCTGGCTTGTTTCAAACTGTCCGTTGTCGTGTATTCTTGACTTCAGAAATGCTCCTAAAAGTTCAGGCTTCCTAAGGGCCAATAAGAAAGGGATCAGAGGACTGGGGGTTGGAAGTATCACGTATGCCACTGGGAATGTCAGTGTCACGACCTTAGAGGAGAAGGCAAAAAGATCAGTCTCTGGAGCGCTTATCTTGCCCTCCATCTGTAGTAGATTTTGTGACATGAGGAGCACAGAGGGGTAGAAAACACTTCAGCTCCCCCTCTCTCACCCCCTCCGAAGCCAAAACAAAAGCACTCCTCTTGTTTTCTGGCTGTGAGAGGGACACACAGCATGAATAATTAACAAGGGACAAACAATAACTATCAGCTGGCTATCTGAGAGTTGTCACTTATCTGTTGCTGGAATCAAAAACAGTGATGAGCCAATTTCTCAAGGAAGCAATAATCATTATTCTCACAAAGATACAATTACTCTGTGCCTTAGGGTACTCTCTAGATGCAGTCATTTGTTGTACTTTTTCATTAGTTTCCAAACAACTGATGAATACATATAATATATTGTCTCATCTGTATAAATAAGATTTTGTCTTCCAACATGACTCTGTGTGCATGTGTTTAAAAGATCACACAAAGATAAACACAATGACATTTGTGATGATTATGTGCCACACTTCCAAAGAAAAGGCACTTTCCCATTCATGGTGAAAACAAACTGTAGAAAAAATTAAGACACAGATGAAATTGAGTTATGTGAGTTTCTATCTTAGTCTGTATTCAAAGGAAAAGATTAAAGTCAGAATTCAACTTAAAATAGTATGTGCTCTGCAACTAAAGTGAGAATTTGAGTTAAAAGATTCAGACATTTTGACTTTATTCTTACTTTAATTAAAAGTATTATAGTAACATTTGAACAGTAGCAATAGTTTTGGAAAGTGTATTTTCCTTCTCAGACAGAATTGAAGGGGATTATTATATCTTAATTGTCAATCAGGCAGGAAATGTGTCTTCAGATAACCTAACACAAGAAACAACAACATAAAAAGCCGACAAGTAGTAAATAAACAAACACATAGAAAAGGTCATGTTACACATTAAAGCAGCTCATGTCAAGGTCTATGGCCGATTGATTGTTACATGACTGAAGAAAATCCTGCACACTGTTGGACTACACTACTACTCCACACATTCATTTATTTATTTTTACCAACATTTGGGACTTTTACATGATGTTATCCACCATTATAATGCACAGAGAAGCCTGTTCTGAGCTGTTCCTGTTGTATTTTGGGGTTAAAGGCTGGAAGAAGCTTGTGACTGTGAGTTGGAGTCCAGTCGTTACTCATATTGATCTGAGTGCTAATTTAAATTGCGATGTAAAAACAAGATTGCAATATTCAAAAAGTACTCCATAATATTGCACATCAGGTTGTCTGAGAAATTGCAGTTAGTATGTGCTTGTTACTATCAATTTATTATTAAGAAGACTTAATAGTGTATCACAGAATCTCAACATATGATCTCATCACATATGATACCATTGAAAGACAGTAAATGATTAGATTTAGTTATTGCCCCCTGTTTCCAGTCTTTTTTAGCTAAAAGAAGAAATAAACTAACTGGTTTGAATTGTATCAGCCAGTTAAGGTTACCTCTCTGCGTGACATATTCCATCTTCTACAATCTGAAAACCACATTTAATATGGCTATACTGAATAAAACAGATACATTAATTATTTTTGGGAACCCTTTAGACTTAAATTCACAAGAATAAGCCTCCACTTCCTTTTTCTTGTGATTGACTGCCGTTGATAGAGATCATTAATTATGTTCAGCAGCACTCAGTTTGTTTATCACACCGGAGTGACAATAGAGAAGGTAAACTGGAGGCGTGTCCTCCGGAGAGAGGCCCCGCCCCCCGCAGCAGAGCAGGCTGCACGATGAAGCGCTCCTCTTTCAGCCACTTCACAAAACTGTTTGCATACCAATCTCCCCTCAACACTGCGAGCCTGGCCAAACTGGGATCGCAGATCTAGGAGCGGTGGATTTTATTAGTTGGACGCTGCTGGGCATAATTCCTCTCCGTGGCTCATCGACATTTGTTCTTTTATTTGACCACTTTCCTCCAGCAGTCCCAGGCTTCTCACATCGGCTTTTTAGAAACATTTTCCCAGGGTCTTGTCACAGAGAGAGGTTCCGACACTGAGCTGCGTTTTGAGGTAAGAAACGTGTCGCTGCTACAAACTTAAATGTGTGTTGAAATGAACGATAAGTGATCACAATTTGAATCCCTTGAGTGCTGTGTTGAACGGGCTCGTTATTTAGTGCAGATTGTCTAAGGGGCGATGTTGTGTTTTTGAAATCCGCTTACTTTGTTGCTTCAAGTTTCCCATCAGGCGAGCTGCAGGAATTAAATGAACAAAGGAGAAATATATAATTGTTTACTAAGACTTGAGTTAAGTTTAGATCAGGTCGGAGTGCTATTTTCTTTTTGAGAATAAATCAGAGTCCTGCACTAAAACTAAATATCCTCAGGTCAGGTGATTGGATGTGCCATGAATCAGTTGGTGAAATGCGGTTAATAGGCAGTCTACGGATAATAGTGGGTTATTGTATGAGAAACCTGCCATCAGGGGGAATCCGGGGTGATGTGTGTCAGTCTCCAGGCTGGCACCCTTCCCACGGGGCTCCAGGAGGAGGCTGTCTGCAGAGATGTATGGGGTCACCAGATGGATGTCTCTGACGGCGCTACCTCTGCTGTAGGGCAGGAGTTCACTGTCAGAGTGCATTAATCAGAGGGATACATCATCCAAAACCACCTCATCTCTCTGTGTGTCTGTCTGATATCCACTGAAGCGAGCATGACACATTCAAGAGCTCTGAAAGAAAAGTCAATACTTTGTTAACATGCTACAGTTTCATGTGACTTTGGAGGGGATTCAGGGTTCATTTCAAAAGTTTGAGCAGCAAAAAAGTTTCTGCTCAACCATTTCTCTCACAGTTTTAAAACCAGGTTATAATCAGATTTCGCCTGAGGAGATTGGCTCCTAGGGACCCATTATCTCACACCAGTGTCCAGGTGAGTGCGCTGGATTTTCTTGCCTCGAGTTACAGTCACAGCCACTCACTCCGGCTCTCCATCTCCCTGAGGCTGGTGTGTCAGGAGAGAAAAATCATATCACGCCCCAGCAGCTTGGACACACTGACTGTTCAGCTCCTGCCCTGATTAATGAGTCGGGCTACTTTACTGTCTGCTGCATCATGTCTTTCTTATTTTCCACCCTCTTGGTTTTTCCCAGACCCCAAATGACTTGGGAGTTATCAGTTAGTAGAGAGAGCAGCACACAAACTGGAAACAGAGGCATGTTTGTTCACTCTGTTGTGGGTGAACATTTGCCTTGTCAAGAAAGAAACAGTAGTATTGATGCTTTTGGAGCAGCTGCCAACACGGATGACTAAACTCCGCCTGAAGCCTTTCTGTCCTCAGCTTGATACACAAGACTGTTGGGAAATAGTTTGGTTGCTGAGACACACAAGTGATGTCTGTGGGATAAGTACAAATGCAAACAACAGGATATGTAAACCTACATTGTAATTTATACGGGGAATAAAGGTTGGCAGCAACAATGCGGATAGTTAGCAATTAGGAGGGAGCATGTTTGAGTGAATTCAAATCTCCGAGCCAAACTGTTATTTATTCCGCCTACAGACACAAAACACCTGGTGTGAGACTTGCCACTGGTGTTCAGTGCCCTCATTTTAATAGTGCCTCTGATAATGTGTTGCTCTTAGTCACACATTCACAGTGCCAGCGATTACATTTTCAGCAAAAAAGAAATGGACAGGAAGGAAATTAAGTGTGAGAAAGAGATTTAAATGGAAGCTATGTGTGTGTGCGTGGTGAATGTACTGCTCCTCGGCCTCAATCCTCTGCAGAATTAGAAATGTGTGAATTTCAGTGTGTGGCAGCTCCTGCTGAGAGGGTGACTGACTTAATGCCGCCTGGCCTGGCAGAGCACTGCTCATTTAAGGCCTGAAATTAATCAATCTGCGGTTCCACATGGTTGGGTGCCTCCGATTTGTGTCTCTTTGCTCCTCTCACGGTTTCACTTCCCTTCAAATCAGCTGATGTTCCTCCAAAATAACACTGCTGTTGCCATGGCCGGTCATTTGATCACTCGCCCTGATTTCACATCCTTGATTCACCCTACCTCACCACAACCTCCTCTATCTGTCTCCCTCTGTATCATCTCATCTATAATTCCTTCTTCCTCCTGTCCCCATCCTTTCTCATCTTCCCTGTCTTTATCCCCCCCCCCCCTCACCCAACCTGTGAATCACGTCTGTATCGATGGGTTCAGAGCAGCAAGGCGGGGAAAGTGAGGCTTGGTCATCACTCCACGCTCGCTCTCTCCTGTATCAGCCCCACTACAGCAGCAGCGGCCCGTAGAGAGCCCGAAACTAAATGGAGTATCTATTGGCTCAATGAGAAAATTGCTTTTTTCGATTGCAAGAGGACCCTTCATTTAATGTGTGTGATGCGGAGGCCTCAGCTAGTAATGGGTTCAGCATCTTTGTTGTCAGGAGACATGAGAAAATTTAATTTGCTTTTCAGCTGGCAGAAATGATTTACTCTCTGAAAGGTGTATTTTTCATCAGCTGTTTAAAAGCCATGAAGGAGTGTTATTATTATTTATGTCAGCACTGTGTTGTCCAAACCCTGTGGTTTGATGCAGTCTGCTGAAGGGCGGTTTATACTAAAAAGGAAATGCTGTATAATCCAGTTACATTCACGCATTCATGCATTCCTTTGGCCATTGCGTGCCATTTGGGCCAGGAAGTAGTGAATGACCTAAGACAGGGCAGGAAGCTGAGGGGCCTCTCTCTGCTGATGCTTCCTTTTTATCAGGAGGAAGCAGGCTGGCTGTTTGTGCTCAACCCAAGAATTCTTTGTGCTTATCTTGCGTTGGCCCTATTTCCCTCAATAATGGCAGTGCTGAGCAGGTAATGAGGTAAAAGGTATGTATTTGACAAGCTGGGCTCTGCAGATAGCGGACTATCAAACGGGCTCTCGGCTTGGTAGGCGCTTAGTTGAGGGTACACTCAGCCCCATCTCGGGATGTTCAAATCACATTTATCTTGAAATCCGCCCCTAGCCATCTTTTTCTCCGCATAATGTTTTTCAGAACTAATAAACCGTGTCACTCAGGTGTCCATTAAAGGCTGCCATGAGTACCCGTTGATCATTACACAGACAGGCACACTCGGTAAATCCCTGTGCCTTTGCCGCAGGGTTTCTTCCTCGCCTTGTGCTCTTTTCATCCCTCAGAAGTAGTCAAAGCTCAGAGAGGAGCTTAGGCTGGCCGGTCAGTCTGGCACTGATAGGTGTGTGACACAGGGCCGACGTGGGGAGATTACCTGCTCTCCTCTGAACCACTGGATGATGCTGAAGTTAAACACATTTCTGCCTGAAAGAAGATTGAATACGTGTTAAATTAAGGTATTTGTTGTTTGTTTGCCAGAAGAACAAGCACTTATTTTCCAGTAAGTTCACACAATAGCGCTGGGTTGACTCACATTGGGAACTGTGTCAGACTGAGCAAGAGGAAGCTGATCAGCACCAGGGAGGAAGGGCTCATTTTATGGATGTGTGTTTGTTTCCCACACTCACTAACTAACACTGGAGCTTTTCACTATGGATGATTTTGGGTCACAGTTTTATCATTTTATAGATAAAGAGCTCTGTGTGGGATTTCTTGTGTAAATTGCTTGGTTCCTGCTAAGGATTTAGATAAAGACTCAATGTTCAGAGGAATCATTTATCGACACAAATAAAGGATTGTATCTAGTTTGTGAATCACTGCAGAAGAGTGCATGTGCGTAGGATAAAGATCATCACTGTTGTTTTTTCAAAACACAGTATGAATAGACTCCATGTTTGGGCACCAGTGTCATTCTGAGATGCTCTTCCCTTTTATACACATTTTGGGGATCATGTTAACATGTCCAATTCTGCTTGATTGTTCTGTTTCAAACATGCTCCAATGTTTTTTTTGTACTAATAGCATGTGTTGTTGAGATTTAAAGGGTACACTTTACAAACGAGACCTCAATACTTAAGTCAATATACCATTGGTTGATGAAGATTGCATTTTTGGTGATTTTTAGGTCATTATTCAAGCAAAAATCGTAACATATTCTGGGTCCAGCTTGCAAAGATACTCTTTCTCTGTTTTAAATAATTGTACATTGAAAATATGATGCACAAAACGACCAAGCAATCTTAAATTGTCACCATGGGAAACTATAATCGCTAGTTTTCATCCTTTTGTTCCCCAAACAATAATTGATATCAGATTCAGAGATAATTAAAATAACTCAAACCTGTGTTACCCATAACTCCCTTTTCTGTGTATATCTGCAGAGACATTCACGCAAGTATCCTCAGTCTCAGTCAAGACATCAGTCTCTCACTAATGAGGAGGCACACTACTGGAGATAAAAATATATTATATATTCTTTCTGGGCCATTGTTTCTGCCTGTCTGTGGCTCTTTGTTCGGGGATGGTACTGCGAGTCGAGCTCAGCCCAGATCTGTTTTTTCAGCCTCTCCCTGTGACTCATTTGGCCTAATGGTTCTCTCTTCTCCTGACTCAGGCATTTTTCTGATGAAATGGGACTCTCTCCCGGCTTCTGGTCTTTCTCTTTTTCTGTTGCCCCAGCCATAACTGTGTCCCGACTCTCCTCCACACCACCCCTCGCTCCTCTCGCTCCTTCATTATTACCAGGTTTTCCTTTTCGAACACTCCTGCTCTTTCCATCCACTTTTCTCTGATGAGAGAAAATAGCTTTATAGGAATGGCCTCATTATTCGTATAGGGCTTTTTTTCTTCAACGTGACTTATTTCACAGGGGGCGGCTGTGGCTCAGTGGATAGAGTGCTGGACTTTGAATCAGGGGATAGCAAGTTCGAGTCCCACTGCAGTCAGCATGTCGTTGTGTCCCTGGGCAAGACACTTCACCCCAAATTGCTCCTGTGGGGATTGTCCTCAGTACTGAATGTATGTAAGTCGCTTTGGATAAAAGCGTCTAACAAATGACATGTAATGTAATGTAATTTCATTACGACATCAGTGATGTGTTTTTATTTCATCTGCTTGGAGACCATCTAAATATCCTGTGTATTTGTAATCACTGATGATGGGCTACACAGTATAAT